ACAACAATCTCTCCGGTATCCCCTCCCGCCGACGTAAGCCCGATTCGTGCAATTCCCCCCCACCGTGAGTCTCCGCGCACCTTCTACAGATCTGGCCGCATCTCGATGGTTCTCTCCCACCGCACCCTTGCACCAGACCTCCCGCCCGGACACCTCCTCCACACCTCCCGCACATCTAGATAGCGCGTTTGCGATCCTTGACTGCACGGCGACGGGTTCATCTCCAAGCTGGAGCTGCGCGCCACGCTGGGGGAGGATTACGAGGAGGCCGAGCTCGAGGAGGTCTGTCGGCTAGTCAAGGGGTTGCTAGACGAAGGGCTGGGGCGAGAGTCAAAATGGATTAGTCAGGGTAGTGGTCAGGGCAAGGGCTGGGGCGAGAGTCGCGGATGGGTGCACTCAGTCACCTTCTCGGCCCGCACGCTCCATATCTCCCCATATCCCCCCAGATGATCGCCTCGTGCGGCGGCGAGAACAGCTGCATCACCTTCGAGCAGTTCAAGGCGATGATGCTCAAGGACATGAAGGTCTTCTCCTCGACGAACCGGAAATGGGCCTCGAGCGGCAACCTCTCCGCACTCTCCACTTCGCAAAAGGCGAAATCGGCAAAGGCCTGAGGCGCCGTCGCATCCGACGGGGGCGAGTGCACTGCTGCCCCGCGCGCCTTACTTACCGTTACCCGCGCCCCGCTCTTCGCTTTTCTCTCCCCTTCTCGACACATGCCATGTTGGCGGCCCCCTCGGGCGGAGGGACGCAAGAAATGTTCTGACTCGACCAACGCCAGTTGTGAAAACTTATTTTCGTGTTTTTATCACCCTCCTCGGCCCTGAGGGCCGGGACCCGGGTCTCTGTGGGGACTGTGCGCGCACTCTGCGGGGCCGGGGGGGTCCAGCCGCGTTATGGCTTTCTTGACGCCCACTACTTCGCGTCGTAGTACTGCCCCCCGTCCACTTCCAGCCTGTGTAGCCATCTTGATCCAACCATCGCTTTCCACGCGCGTGGTCTTTGACCCATCCCTTTCCAGTCGAGTGGTCGAGCGGTCCGTCCACCTGACGGCCACGCTCCTTGCACCCCACGACCCCCGTCAACGCCTTGTCTCTGGCGTGTTTCCAAACCCGCGTAGAGGTAGCCCACCGACGCCACATTGCCACCATTTCTTTTCCACGAGCCCCTCCCCGCCGTCTGGTACGCGCGCCTTGCGGGGGGGGGGGGGGCGGAAAAGAGGAACCTCTTAGGTCTTAGCGCCGGGGGAGCACTTGGAGTGCAGTCATTAGCCTCACATCCAGGGCCGGGGAGCTAAGAAGCGCACCCAGCGGGCCGGATGATCGGGATCGGGTTACGGGCTAGAGAGCCCTAGCCCTGGGGGGTGCGCGTTCGCAGGGAAAGGGCCGTAAAGTAAACACGGTCTCCGAGGGTTAGCTCCGCGCTCCAGGTTTCCCCTATGAAGCAGCAGACCGCCCCCTCTACTCGGAGCTATAATGGACACCAGACACGAACACGACACACATTCTCACACCAGACCCAGCGAGCACCACTCGTAGCCCATGTCGAGGTTGTGCGCCGCCACCTACAGTCACGAGTAAGGCGAGGCAGTCACCTCCTCGGGTAGGGTGGGAGCCGAGATCACCCGAGATCATGCGAGGTGAGGGGAGGTTAGCCTGCAATCCGTCGATAGAGACACTTTGAAAGGTCGGGCGGGGCCAGGGAAGCCGAGATTGTCCGAGATGACAGGGCACGAGATCGCGATTGCGGTACGACGCGGGTTGACGGCAGGATGGCCGCGCTCAGCCGAGATATGAGGCAACGTGATTCGAGATTGGGCGAGGCGAGGCGAGGCTCGCATAGGGACAGTTTGGAAGGTCGGCCGAGCTCGGGGAGACCGAGCTTGCGCGAGATCACAGGCGAGATTAGGTCAGCCGAGCAGGACCTCCGCCCGAGATAGTCCGAGATCGACCCTGGGCATGTCAACCGCCGCTACATGTCAACCCGGTGTCTGCCTCCTGCTTCGCGATGGTTGAGGACTCTCACTGTGTGTAGGAGGGAGATGGTCATCAAGCGCTCGTCTGCTGCGCGGCGGTTGGACCGGGAATCCTTCGCAACTATCTCATTCAAAACATGCATGGCGGGGCGATCGATGCATTCATTCGAACGAATACCAACCACGCGCACGCATCCACTGTCTAGTTTTATCTAAGCCAACTAACTATCTCATTTGCTACTAATCTAATTAGATCCTTCGGTCCAAATTACAAAACCGCCCCTCAAACATCCTCTTCTTGGAGCACTTGAAGTGCAGTCATCAACCCTCAACACAAATCCAACACAAATCTCTCTCTCTCAACCTCACTCCAAGCTGAAACCGGCCGCGTCAAGGCAGCGGCTCCTCTGGCTGGTGACGGTGCCGGCGTCATGGAGAAGGAGATGGAGTTGTCGGCAGGCAGCCGCTCCATCTGGGGCGCGCTTTCTTCTCGGTTTGGCTGCGAGGTGTGCTTGCGCTGCTCGTACTCTCTCTCTCGCATGGGGGAGGAGGAGGCGCGGGCGGCGAGCGCACGAGGGTGAGGATCGGGAGGAAGGCAGAGCCGAGTGCGGCTTTGGGGAGGGGGCGGGGAGAGGGAGGGGCGGGGCGGGGCGGAGCGGGGTGAGGTGGGTGCCCGGAGGAGGCCTTCGGCGGCTAGATAAGCGGGGCCAGTCCGAACCAGTGACCAGTGTTGCGAGAGGGGCTCCGGAATCAATCCCCTCTTCCTCTCTTTGTACTTTTGACTCGCGCACGACTTGGGATGTACATGTAGTCGGGTACTCGGACTCGACGACGACTGCCGGATCCAGCTGAGCGTCGGCGCCTTCCGCCTCACCCTCAGCCTCAGAAAGAAGCTCCACGACACGGACTCGGACTCGCGCCGCCCCATTGAGCACCCGCGCGCTGCAGCTCGGCATGCGGATCGGGCGCCGGGCGGGGAATGGGCCATGCGGCGGAAAAAAAGTAATGTGCGCCAGCGTGTGGTCGCACGGCCGTCTCGCAGCCCACACAGCTACTGCTTTGGCGGGCTCTCTCGAGGCACTCCCTTTGCTGCCACTCACAAAATCGTTGGGTCGCTTCAGTTCACGAAGGTGGGCCGACCCTCCGATTTTATGAGAAGAGAACAAAGGGAGTGCTCTCGAGGAGGCCTCCATTTCTAGCTTAAGAATTCTAGCTAAAAAGAAAATGCTACCCGCTCGCGCGAGCCGCAGGTCACTTGTGCAAGAGCCTCAGCTCGCGCACAGAGCTGATGCCGCTGGCACCGCGTACTGAAGCGCTCGCGGCGTCCGAGCCGAGGAGCGCGGCATCCGAGCCTCAACGGGCAGCGGTCGCGACGGAGGCGGAGGGCTTGCGTTTGCACCTCTCGAGCAACAGCAACGCCACCGGCTACAAGGGCGTGTTCAAGGAGCCCTCCGGCCGCTTCCGTGCGATTCACAGCGTGGCTAACCTCGGCCTCTTTGACACGGCGGTGGAGGCGGCGGTGGCGTACGCGCGGTCGGTCGGCGAGTATCAGCCCTCGATAGTGGCCGCGGAGGCGGAGGGCTTGCGCTTGCACTTGTCCAGCGCCGCCGGCACCGGCTACAAGGGCGTGGTCAAGCTCCCCTCTGGCCGCTTCGTGGCGAAGCGCGCGGTGGACGGCAGGCACGTCTACATCGGCACCTTCGACACGGCGGTGGAGGCGGCGGTGGCGTACGCGCGGGCGGTCGAAGAGGCGGCGGCGGCGGCGGCGACAGCGGCGGCGGCGGCGACGGCGGCGGCCGCGGCGGCGGGCGCTGAGCCGGCGGGAGCCGAGCCGACGGGAGCTGAGCAGCAAACTCGCTCCTCCGACCGCGGCGCGCGCCCGGTCGTGCGCTTCGAGGCGCCCGATCCGTGCGAGCTCGCACGGTGGCGTCGTGAGGCGAGCAGCGGGCCTCCGGCGGCCGAGGGCGAGCGGATCTTCCCTGCCGGCGCAAATGCACCCACGACAGCTTCCGAGACGGTGCGGCATCGCTCAGCCTCCGTCGCTGCCTCGTCGCATGCGCCGCAGGCGGAGGAGGAGGCTCCGGAGGCGGAGGGCTTGCGCTTGCACTTGTCCAGCAACAACGGCACCGGCTACAAGGGCGTGATCAAGAATCCCTCTAACCGCTTGCCGTACCATGCGCGACTGTCGGGCAAACCAAGCCTCGGGAGCTTCGGCACGGCGGTGGAGGCGGCGGTGGCGTACGCGCGGGCGGTCGAAGAGGCGGCGGCGGCGGCGACAGCGGCGGCGGCGGCGACAGCAGGGGCGGTGGCGGCGGGCGCTGAGCCGGCGGGAGCCGAGCCGGCGGGAGCTGAGCAGCGAGCTCGCTCCTCCAACCGCGGCGCGCGCCCGGTCGTGCGCTTCGAGGCCGGCCCGGCGCCCGATCCGTGCGAGATCGACCTCTCCTGGCTGGAGCTGCTGCCGCCTCTCCGCCTCAAGCCGCTCTGCGATCAGAAGGGCCTGAGTGTGGGGTGGGACAGCTCGGAGGCGCTGGCGAAGCGGCTGCGCGCCAGCGGTGGCCTGAGCCTGGCGCAGCTCAAGGAGCTGTGCGATGCTCCAGAGGTCGGAGTCGCGTCATACCAAGGCGCAAGGCAGAGGTCGCAGATCGCGCAGCGCATCGGCGCCAAGCTGGCGGCGGCGGCGGCGGCGACGACGACGACGACGGAGGAGGAGGAGGAGGAGAAGGAGGAGAGCAGTGATGAGGGGGCGGCGGCGGCGACAGCGGCAGTGGCAGCGGAGGGGGCGGAGGCGGGCTCCGGCACGCGGGAGGTGGACCGGGTTCTTCCGTCGTCGTCGTCGGCAGCTCACCCGGCCCGGCCAGGCGGCGACGGCCGGCGCGAGAGGAGACCGTCGACGTTCTTCGAAGCTAAGCTTGGCGGCGGAGACGCGCGGGTGCAGCACCGCGGACAAGCCGTCGACCTGACGGCGCCCGCGGCGGCGGCGGCGGCGGCTCCAAAGCCGCAAAAGGAGGAGGTGTGCAAGGCGTGGCTCGAGGGAAAGTGCCACAAGGGCAAGTCTTGCCGCTGGCGCCACGGCGAGAAGAGGCCGCCGCCGGCGAAGGTGCAGGTCGCCTCCGTGGCGGCCGCCCAACCTCAGGCCGCCCAGCCTCAGGCCGCCCAGCCTCAGGGAGCTCAGGCGGCAGCTCACCCGGCCGACCCCGCCCGGCGAGGCCAGCGGAGCCTGGCGCAGGCGGGGATCGAGGAGGCGGCGGGGTCGGCCGCTGCCGCCGGGACAAGTCAGGGGCCCGGCGGCGACAGGGAGGCGGCGCAGCGGGTAGTGCTCGAGCCGGTGCCGATCAAAAAGGGCGGGCGTGGCGGGCGGCGTCCTGGGGCGGGCAGGAAGCGAAAGGCCGTGGCTGCGTTGCTGGCGGCCAGTTCCTCGCTTGGTGGTGACGGCGGCGGCGGCGGCCGAGCACACGCCGGGCGGCACGGGGGCGAGATCAGCGCGGCTGACACTCGCGGCGCGGCGGTGCAGGAGGGGGGCGACGGCCGGCGCGAGAGGAGACCGTCGACGTTCTTCGAAGCTAAGCTTGGCGGCGGAGACGCGCGGGCGCAGCACCGCGGACAAAGCCGCGGTGTCGGGGCGGGCGGAGGCACCGACCCCGCCCGGCGAGGCCAGCGGAGCCTGGCGCAGGCGGGGATCGAGGAGGCGGCGGGGTCGGCCGCTGGCTCGGGCCTCACCAAGATGGAGATGGCGGCCGCGGGCCTCAAGATAAGTCCGGGCGCATGCTGCTCCGCTGTGCCGCGGCGTGCATTGTCAGAGAACCACTTGAGCGTGTCACGCTTGCGGTAGGCACGTATCTCCGCACGTACATCTCTGCTTGCGGTGGCGATCCGGCTCTCGTGCGAGGGTGGAGGCGTCAAACTGATGACTCCACTCGCGCGACTCCACTCTCCAGAATAACTTGGATCTCGCCGAGTGGCCAGCCTCATCAGGGCCGCAGCGCAGTCGCCCGCGTTCTCGGTTTGACGCCGCTCACGGCCACGCAAGTCCAACGCCTCCGCTACCCGGTGCCGAGCCGGCAGAGCGCGCCGCCGCTGGCGCCCCCTCCGCCGCAGGCAGCCCCGCCGCCGCAGCTAGGCAAGCGGCCGGGCGTGGGCGCACCGGTCGCTGCAGCGGTGAAGAGGCCGCGGCTCTACTGCCCCGCTCCCGCGCGTCCCTCGGGTGGGCCTGACGCGCAATGCCAGCCGGACGAGCAGACAGCAGAAGGAGGAAGCCGCTCTGTTGGCGGCCTCTCCGAGTACCTGGTGCCCTCGCCTCCTCCCCACCCCCCTCGCCTAATCTACCCCCCGGCGCGTTCTCTTCATCAGTCGGCTGAAATGCACCTCCCCATCCCCTCTGCAGGTCTCTTGCGGCGGCTGGGAGGGCCTCGTCGACGGCTGGTACACGCAGACAGAGGTGCGACAAGCCGGCCGTTGCGACACCTACTTCTTCTCGCCCGCCGGGAAGCGCTTCCGCTCGCGCGTCGAGGTGGCAAGGCACTTCGGACTCGACCAAGGCGGAGCTCGGGCGCCGCCCGTCTTCGCCCCCGCCTCCACCTCCGCCTCCGCCTCCGCCTCCGCCTCCGCCTCCGCCCGCCAGCCTGGGCCGGTCGCAGGGCTGGGCGGCGACGTGTTTCGGGTCGAGGCGCTGCTCGCGCGGCGGCACGTCGGCGGAGAGGCCCAGTACTTGGTGCGCTGGGAGGACTACCCGCCCGAGCACGACAGCTGGGAGTGCGAGGACAACATCTTCGACGAGAGCCTGATCCGCGCCTTCAATGCCGGCGCCGCGTCCTCGTCCAGCGGCGGCGCCTCCGAGTCGGCAGCAGGCCCTCGGGCCGGCGTTTCTTTTTCTTCCTCCCGGCTGCCGGCCTACCTCTCCGCGCCTTCCCCTGGGCGGCCCCACGCGGCGGGCGGGCGGGCGCCGAGTTTGCAGGGCGCTTTGACCGCGGCGGAGCTGCCGCGGTTTGTGCAGCTTGCCTCGGCGGAGGGGGCGCCGCGGCGGTGGGGCGGCGGTGTGCCACCCCCCACTTGCCTTTGCGGTGCGCTGGCCGTGTTGCGCAAGCGGCGCTGGTGGTGTGCCGACGAGGACGGCGGCTGCAGCTTCGAGCTGTGGGCGTGCGGTCGCACCGACGACGGCACCGCGGGCATGCAGCCGCTGTGCGAGTGTGGCAGGCCGGCGGTGTGGATGGGCAGGAGGTGGTGGTGCGCGCGCGCCGATGGCGGGTGCGACTTCGAGTGGTCTCCTCCGTCGCCACCCGCGCCTCCAACGCTGGTGCCGCCCGAGGCGATCGAACGGCAGATGGCGCGTGACACCGCGGCGCTGCTCACGGCTGCCGCGCACGGCCCGCTCAACGCGTGGTCCTTCGTCGCACCAAGCGATTTCGGGCTCGGGCTCTGGGCGCGGGCGCCTCTCCGGCGGGGGCAGGCGCTCGGCTTGTACTCCGGGCCGCGGCTGCCGTGCAGCTTGCAGCGGCGCGGCACGTGCGCGCTTCAGATCCCGGGCGCCGACGCCGCCACTGCCTGCGCTTCGCGGAAGTCGCTTACGTGAGGAGGCACGACGTAGGCACCCATGTCGTCGTCGACGGTGCGAGCGAGAATTGCCCGTTCAGCGTGCCCCGCTGCTGCGCGTCGTTCGCCAACCACAGCCGCTCGCCCAACGCGCGGCTCGAGCTGTGGCCCGTGTTGCGGCCCGCACCGTGCGAGCTGCGCCAGCACGTGTCGTCGCGCCGGACGGGACGCGCCACAGCGAGTCGCAATTCTCTCTAGGTGCGAGGTGCGCCAGCACATGGTCCTCGTCGCGTCCGAGCCCATTTCCGCCGGAGGCGAGATCAGGATCGACTACGAGGGAGGAAGCTCTCGCGCAGGCAGCGGCAGCACCGCGTATTGGGGCGCGGAGACGGGGATGGGTGAGCCGCGCGAAGACGGCGCGTGGCGTGCCGTTCGGCGCCACCCTCCGCCGCCTCCGGCCACGTGCGAGGCAGTAGTCGCCGGTTGCCGGCACACGCTGATTTGTGCGCCCCTTCACCGCGTGCGGCTGTGGATAGGCCGTGGTTGACGGTTTGGCGCGGCTGCAGAGCGCGGCGCGCGCATCGCAGGGCGGCGAGGACGTCGATGCGGCGTCGGCCGTCCTTGCTTGCTCAGTGGCGGACGAGACAGCGGCACCGCTCCCTTGGGGTGGCGAGCGAGGGGGCGACGTGCGCTTGCGGCTGCTGGTGCCGAGTCTAGCAAAGAAGCTGGCCGGGCTGCGAGCGCGCGTCGCGTCCTGCCAATGGGGCATCGTGGCGTCGCACTTGCCTGGACGCACCGGCGCCGAGTGCCGCGGGCGGTGGGCCGAGCTGCATGCGGAGGCGGAGGCGGAGATGGAGGAGATGGAGGCGGAGGAGATGGAGGCGGAGGAGATGGAGGAGGCGGAGGCGGTCGAGGTGGAGGCGTTCGAGGTGAGTGATGAGGAGGGGGCGCAGGTGGAGTCGGGAGCGGAGGCGATGGAGGTGGATGCTGCGGTGGTGGTCGCTGAGGGCGAGGAGGAGCAGGAGGAAGACGGCGTGCTAGAGGCCGCGGTGGAGGTGGAGGCGAGGTATGCATGGCTGTGACCTGTGTTGCGTGTCTTCGTCTTCTTGATGTGCGCCGTCGGCCGGGGCAACCAGTCAGCCGCCTCGGTGAGAACAATAGCTCGCGACGTGAGTCCCGGACCGGCTCGGACCGGCTTCGACTGGACCTGTGGCAACAAACACGGGGAACCTCCCTCTCCGTCAGAGTTCGCTCCCACTGAGGTCTCCGCTTTTTATTTCGTTGCTCGGCTGTCAGCACGAGCGCCGCGGCGCAATGCGGCGTTGCGAGAGGAGCTCGAGGCCGAGGTCGCACATCTCTCCGGAGGGTGGCGTGGGAGGCGCACGTCCACTACCAGAGGTTCTGCCGTGCTGCCGACTTGGGAAACGACACCTTGGTGGAGAAGAGCTTTGTTGCAGGATTTGCCCCTCCCTCGCGGCTTATTTACCCGCTGCTGCCGCTACTCTTTGATGTGGTCGGTGTTGTGGTCCAGCTGTGCGACTTGCTGCTTGGGAGGGCATCGCGGTCCGCATTCGCGTACAAAGCGTGTGAGCACGAGGACCTCCGCCCTCTCATTCACTTCAGTGAGAACGCCTTGCTGCACCCCGCTTCGGCCGCCCAGCAATACATTATGCTCAACTTGATGAAGCCATCCAAGGAGCAGTCAAGCCAGTCAGAAGACAAGGGCTACATTCTCAAACAGGTTCTCATGTTCGCCGGTGCTCTGCGGCTCCGACCCTTCATCGTACACATGGGAGCGATCACGCCTCTGACAGCGACGGAAGGCGATGTTTGGTTTGAGCAAATCGTGTGCATGTTTCATCCCTCCGCTGCTTGGCTGAACCGCATGACACAATCGACGCTTTTCAACTCCGGCGCGCAAAAGAAGCTCCAAGACATGGAAACCATCCGTTGATTGCGCCCATGGACATCTCGAGCTAGCTCCCGCCGATGCCCGCGTGTTGGCGTGGAGCGGTGGCTCGTGCGGTCGTGTGGCTGGGCCAAGCATGTCTCACACCGTCTGCGTCTAGAGTATTGTGTGCTCTCTCTCTCGATCGTCGATGCACTACGTGTGTGGCGCTCTTTTGCGTTTGTCCGATCCGTTTTCCATACGTAGCGCGGAGGATAGGTACATACGCTACCGCAGCCACACGGTGCTTTTGAGGGAGGTACGCTACCGCAGCCACAGCACCCACCCTCAATCTGGCCAAGAGATTCCACAGAGAGGAGCATTTGCCACACCGCCGACCGCATCTCGCCGGCAAAGCGCATATAGGCGCCTGGGAGCTAGTCATTCGGCACGAGATGGGACTGTCAGTCCTTTGCCTTGCTGTCGGTGCTTGTGCGGGCGCTGTCAATGCTCGAGCAGGCACTGTCGCGGTCGCCGCCCGTTCTGTCCCCTCCGATGATGGAGTGGGCGCGTTCGAGCGGCGCGCAGACCGTCTGATCGCCTCCGATGATGGAGTGCGATCGCTCGTATTGGATCGAGCCGCGCAGCTTCGCTAGCTCGTCAAGCACGGGTGGCGTTGGTTTGTCAGTCATGGCGGCTAGGCTTAGGCCTAACCCAACACTCAAGCCGGGGGCCCGGGGCGGGGTACACGCGGATTTTCTTTTTTGATGCTGCAAATTTAATTACCTCTTGTTTGGTACGGCTCCGACACAGGACACAACACAGCCACTCGCCAGTCGCGTACATGCTACTCCCTGGCTCCACGCTCCTCCTCGCGCCGCTCCTCGCGCCACCGCCGGCCCGGCACGCTCCGGCGGCGATGGGCGGATACACCGGGCTGCCACGGATGCCCGTCAAGGCTTGGCCGCTCACGCGGCGATGGAACCCGACCCTCGAGTACCGCGAGAACATTGCGACGCTGTGGCGAGGCCGCTCACGCGGCCCGATGGGGAGGAACGGGGCGAGCCCCCTCCAACCCACCCGCGCTAGGTCTCGGGGGACGAAGGGGTCACACCCGACGACCTCGGGAACTAGCCGGGGCAGTCGGAGAAGTGGCAACTCCGTGCACTGACGGTCGGCCGCCAGAAAACACGCCTCCGTGGCTCGGGTTACACCAAACCTCGGTAACCAACGCGGCCAAAGGATATCCACCTCGAGAACCTCGAGAGACCTCGAGTTCATTTAAAAAAGAAACGCCGCCTCACCCGTCGGACACGCGCCGGCCGCCGACGCCTGCGCTGCAGCTGGCGACGCCGCCGCCCCCCCGCCAGCGCCCGGCGCGCTGGGTGCCGCACTCGCCCCGGTGCCGGGGGCGGCGGCAGTGGGCTCGCCGCACGCGCCCTGCGCCCGCTGGCGAGCGGCAAGCGCCTAGCCACCGACTACGCCGAGGCGACGAAGCGGAAGGCCAAGGCAGCGGCGTGCGACGCCAAAAACTGCGACTTTATGACGTGGGCGGCGAGCACGCGTGGCGGCATCGGGCACGAGGCGGCGACGTGGTTCAACACCAACTTCGACATCAAGGCCGCTAAGGCGTCCTCCGACAGCGAACGATGGCGGGTCAGTAGCGAGCGCAAGCGCTTCCTGCAAGTGCACTCGACCATCGTCGCGAGGCGCAACGCCGCCATCTTCGACTACAACGCGTGGCCGAAGATGGGCGGCGAGATGCCGCGGGCGCCTCGGGTGCAGTATGAGTAGGGACGGGCGGGGGAGGAGGGGCGCTGACCACGGGCGACTACGAGTCGACGGTTCGAGGACGACTACTCGCCGCCCGGGTCGTTTGGGGCGCGCGGCTCCGTCGAGGACCGGGCGCGCCCCTTACCCGGCGCGGCGTAGGTCCCACTCTGACGTATAGAGGGGAGGCACGGACAACGGCCCAATCCATCAATTCCACTCATCTTCTGGTGCTTGGCCCCGTGCAACAGCGGTCCGGCAGGCTGCCCCCAAGGCCCCCCGGGCCGCTGCGGGTTTGGGAGTTATGCTTAGGCACAGCTTCGGCGATGGCAGCCCCTCTCTGGGGTGTTGCATAGGCGGGGAGTCTCCCCCGCTGGTCTCCTCCTTCCCATTTTTTCTTTTCTTTTGAGAGCAGGACGCCGGGTTTGTCTTGTATGTGCATGTCGGGCCTGGGTGTGTGTGAGGGGCAGAGGGGCGGGAGCGTGCGGGGCAGAGGCCCAACGTCGGGCGGCTTGTCGGGGTCCGGAGGATTCGAGGCGGGAACGAGGAGGGGCGAATGGGCGGTCGGCGTCGGGGTAGAAGCAACAGGGCGTACGGGGTAGCCGTCACTCTCCTGCCTCGAAAGGGCGGGGCTGTCCCGGAAAGTGAGAGACGCCGGGCAGCGTGGCGCATTACTGAACCCTCCCATACGTGTTTGTGCTCCTCCTTCGCTGTCCCATCTCCTCATCTCTTTCCCGCCTGGGCGGGGCAGCGGGTGGGCGCGCGGTGCGGCGTGGCGTGTGAGTGTGTGCGACTGCAACGACGGATCGCTAGCAAGGGACCATTGGGTTTGTACTATTAACAACGAAGGCGCTCTCAAAAAGAAACACTGCACCCTGTGTCTTCACAGCGAGCAGTCGAGCCGCACAATGCCGCACCCGCCGGGTTTGCAGCCGCGATTCATGTTCTGCACCTTCACGAGCGTCCTCGCCGCGGCGACCGCGCGCCAGAGCGTCTCAAGCCCAACAGTCCGCGTCGGCGGCCCTCCTCCTCCCGGCGCTTGCATGCCAGCCGGCGGCGGGTGGCGAGCGAACGACGCAGTCGCGGACACTTCTCGAGTCCCAACCAAGGATTCTGTCAAGACCGAGACGCCGCCGGATACGGCGTCCGCCCCTCTCACGATTCTTGAGGCGTCCATCGGCCTCCGCGCCCCGATCAGCCCGCCAACGACCAAGCCGGCGGACGGCGGGCGAGCGGCAGCGCCCCAGCACCTCCTCTTCCTCCAGAGCGAGCGGGCCGTCGATGCGCGCCTGACGGCCGCGCTGGGGCAATTTGCGTGTCCCGCAGAGCTCCGCTCGACCCGGATCTCCGACTCGAACGCGGTCGAGTCCGATCTCTTCTCCGTCTCAAGCGGGTGCGCCGACTGGCAGCGCGCCTGCGCCTCCTTTGCCCGCGCGAACTCCTCGCTGCTCGAGGTCGGGCAGGGAGAGCTGGAGCGGGCGGATCAGGCGCTCGGCGACCCGCACTGCACTCCCCCACGCCGCTGCATCGGCTGCCACACCGTCACCCCTCTGGCTATGCCCACCCGCAGCCGCTGCCCGGTCTGCCTGCCCTGTCTGCCCTGCATCAACACTCGCTCCTTTGGCCGCTCCAGGTGCGCACCCGCTGCCCGGCCACGGCGGAACGGCGCTTTGCGCTCGAGTCCGAGGAGCCACCAGGCTGCTGGGCCGCCTCTGGCAAGGCCCAGGCGTCGCTGCCCATCCCGGCCCGGTGGTCCGAGACTGAGGCGGTGCCCATGCCTCTGCCGGTTCCGCCAAAGACCGAGGTGGCGGAGGATCAGCGCAGCGAGGCGTCGCTGGAGGAGCTAGCGCGGCCCGCGGAGGTCTGCGCCACTCAGATCGCCGACTCGAAGACGGTTGAGTCGACCGATCTCTTCTCCATTTCAAGTGACCTCGCCGGCTCGCGGCCACGCTGCGCCTCTTGCATCTGCGCTGACTCCTTCACGCTCGAGGTCGAGCAGGGCGAGGAGGAGGGGGCGGACCAGGCGATCCGAGCACCGCATCGCCAGCCCGTCTCCCCCCTGCCCCTGCCTGCCGCACGGCCTCCCCTGCGTGCCCTGCCAAGCCACTCGCTTCTATCACTCCTCGCGCCTCTTCGCAGCGCGCCTGGCGGACTGTCGCCCGCGCCTGCCTTTCCACAGGCCGAAATCTTCATGGCCGAGACGGTCACGGCCGGCAGCTCTCTTTGGCCCCTCCTCATGGGTGCCCTCGTGGGGTGCTTGGGCGTCTCTGTCGTGGCGCTGAAGTGGAGAGGCTACAAGATGGACGGCAAGAAGCGCTCGAGGCGCGCCAAGGAGAACGAGGGCATGGCACTGACGACCGCCGGTGCTTGCCGCACTCAGATCGTCTTCTTCTTCTTCTTTGTCGCAATGGTCGGCCTGTGCGGCGTGATCTACGCGGCCTCGAATGCGAGGTACACTCGACGGAGCGGCGCCATGCCGGGTCTCCCATCCGTCAACAGCATCGTACCCGAGTCGTGTCCCGCCGACGCTGCTGGGAAGGCCCGGAGGCTGGTCGAGACGGGCCTCGTCGGCGCGGTAGCCTTGCATCTCGGCGGAATCGCCTCGCTCGAGCCATCCGCCGCCCATGTCCGCGTGGCCGCCGCCGCGCTGCTCGTCGGCAGGGCGGCCGCGTCTGCCACGGATCCATCAGCGAGTCACACGCGGCATGCGAGGAACGTGACGCGCGGTGGCAGAACACTTGTGGCACTGATCGGTCAGATAAGAGGCGGCGAGCTCGCAGAGCGGTCCCTCATTCAGCACGTGCTCAAGCCCAACCAAGCAGACCTCGTGCTGATGGTTCCCAAGACAGCCAGCCTACTGAACAGTTCCCTGGCTGCGCGCGCCAGATACGTGTGGACGTTGCGCGAGCCTGAGAATTGGAAGCAGCCCATCGCTGCCATTGCCCAAGCCCTGGGCGCACACAGGTGGCTCGACTTGGCCAACAATTCGGGCGCCGTGTGGTTCCTTGGCCCCGCCCGCCTACGGCGAGGGGTGCGTTCGCCATCCACTGCCGCCCCCAATCTGGTCTATCGCCACCTGCTCAAAAGGCACCTCGTGCAACATCGGCTCATCGAGCAGTACACTCGATTCATCATCACCCGCGCGGACCACGTCTACGGGTGCCATCATGATGTGAGTCGCTTTGACTTGCATCACCAAGTTTATGTCCCCACTGGTGAAGACTACGGCGGTGTGTGCGACCGTCACATTGTGTGCGGCCAGGCGGATGTGCTCGCCTGCCTCTCAATTATCGATGGCCCGCTGCTCCATCCTGAACGGTATGTCAAGCAGGCCGACTCGATGGCTACATGTGGACCTGAACCGTTCATGAAGCTAAGGCTGCAGGAGCTTGGGCTCTGGCCACGACTGCGCCGCTTCGCACGCGTCATGTACCTGTCAAGCGACAAGGGCAACGGGAGTTCCGTCTTGAACAAGACATCGAAGGAGCCCTCTTATCCCAAGCCAGCGGCGCCAGGCCAGCATGTCAAGTACTTAGACGAGTTTGTGGCCACACGATGGACTTGCGGATTTTGTAAAGGGCTTGGGGCTGGGCAGCCTTTCTGCTGCCCCTTGCGCCGTCCAACTGCCATGGTGTTGGAAGGCGCGCTGGCTAGCGGGAAACTGGCATACGTTGAACCACGCACAGGTGATTGCCAACTCTCTAGAGCTGTCATCCTGGCCTTGACCTTGGCAAGTGGGGTTATCCTGGCAGGCTATGTGGCAGGCATCCTTGCCGTTCTTGGTCGGCGCTCTCCCTTCTCAGTCCTCGACGAGCGATAAACAAACCAATAAACATAGCTGCCGTGGCGAGTGCGCGGTGCAACAGCGGTGCCCGGTGGGAGTTGAGGGACTTAAATAACTCTTAATGTCCGATGAGGGTCCGAGTTAATGCCATTAATAAAATAATGCATTCCTTTTTTAACGGCCCTGCAGAGCAGGGTTCCGGCTCCTACCCAGATAGGGGGTCTGTCCACACTGGCTGGCCCCTATGCAATAGGTAGGTGGTCCGCTTTTGACCGCCCCAGAGGGCCCCGCAATAGGTAGGTAGGTGGTGGTGGGGGGGTGGGGGAGGGGTTTATTCGTATAAAAAACCGCTTCGCTCGCGCGGGAGACGGCTAGCCGCGAACGGGCCATGCCAGACGACGTCGCCTGCGGCTGGGACGCCAGCCGAGACGGGTTAGGACGGCGACCGCCTCCACTGTGAACCACTTTTGATGCCTAATCTCAAAGTATAGCCAGGGGGGATACCCGTAGCCCCCAAAGTGAACTGCCTGATCGACTCCCCGGCACACGGCGGAGGAGGAGGAAGACAGCACAACCCCAGGGCGGGAAGAGCACAATGCTCAGGGTGGGACAAAACACCGACAGACGAGAGAAGAGGCCACAAAACAGACAAGCAGAATGGCAAGAGAGAGACGCTCTGCAGGCGAGCCCACGGGCCTCTTGGGCCCTCGCGTCTCTCTCTCTCGATTCGTTACACCGATTCGACCATCAATGCGGCGGGCCGATTTCGACCCATCACAAATGTGGGAAGCCATTAACCTCCCTTGGCTTCCCACACAAACCCCCCTTCATGGGGGGAGCAGCAAATGAGGTAGTCTCTGCGAAATCACTGTCCCAGTGAATTCGCCCTAGAGGCTTCCGTGTGGACTCGCAGCTCCGGCTGGATGTCGGCGACCTAAAGCTCGGCGGTCGTCGCTTCGCGCCGGCCGACTCCCTGTAGGACGGCGACCGCCTCCACTGTGAACCACTTTTGATGCCTAATCTCAAAGTATAGCCAGGGGGGATACCCGTAGCCCCCAAAGTGAACTGCCTGATCGACTCCCCGGCACACGGCGGAGGAGGAGGAAGACAGCACAACCCCATCGCCAATCCTGTCGAGGTCGATCCACCGTCTCGCGCGTGAATCGGCCGCGACCTCCGCCTCGAGGCGAGGGCCCACCCTTGTGTCGAGTGCCCCTCCAATAGCTCAGTAGAAGCGCGACGTGTTCTACGGCCGCGACCATCACCATCGTAGGTCCTTGCACTGCGACTGCGCCACCGGCCAAGCTCCAGTGCGGTTGACCCCCATCCAGGAACTGCCCGCGACGATAGGGCTGTCGCCTCATCCATGCCGCTGACCGCGCCCAGCAGCGGGTGCTCGCCGCTGTCCACGGACGCGGCTCGTCAGGCGGCGCGGTGCCGCCGGCTGCAGCGACGGCTGTCCCGGCCGTCGCGTCCTCGAGAGAGGCGAGCGAGCCGGCAGCAGAGCCCGCATGGCCCTCACCGCCACAGCCGCTCTGCCTGCTGACCTCGCTCTCGCCGCCGCCGCCTGCAGCGGCGCCTCCGCGGCTCCGAGAGGACCCGGCCCGCGGCCGCGCCTCGTCGAGCGCCTCGTCGACGCCCTCGGCGACGCCTCCTCGCGTCGCGTGCCCGTGCGTGGCGACCGCACCGCCGGCAGAGCTCGAGTGGCCCTCCACGCCACCCCGAGACTGCCCGGCGATGGTGCTTTCGTCGCCGTGCCTTGCCGTCGCTGCCTCGCAGCGGCTCTGTGCCTCGGCGCCGAGCCGAGACATGCCAGGCGGCCCGCCGCCGCCCACCGAGACGAGGCCCGCCCTCTCGTCGTGCACCGCGTCGCTCGCGCCTCCGCCAAAGCGATCTCGATCACGCTTTGCGGCGACGGCGCCATCGACGCCGACTTGAGCCGCTGCTCTCGCCCAGCAGCGGGTGCTCGCCGCTGTCCACGGACGCGGCTCGTCAGGCGGCGCGGTGCCGCCGGCTGCAGCGACGGCTGTCCCGGCCGTCGCATCCTCGAGAGAGGCGAGCGAGCCGGCAGCAGAGCCCGCATGGCCCTCACCGCCACAGCCGCTCTGCCTGCTGACCTCGCTCTCGCCGCCGCCGCCTGCAGCGGCGCCTCCGCGGCTCCGAGAGGACCCGGCCCGCTGCCGTGCCTCGTCGAGCGCCTCGTCGACGCCCTCGGCGACGCCTCCTCGCGTCGCGTGCCCGTGCGTGGCGACCGCACCGCCGGCAGAGCTCGAGTGGCCCTCCACGCCACCCCGAGACTGCCCGGCGATGGTGCCTCCGCCGCCGCGCGTTGCCGCCGCTGCCTCGCAGCGGCTCTGTGCCTCGGCGCCGAGCCGAGACATGCCAGGCGGCCCGCCGCCGCCCACCGAGACGAGGCCCGCCCCCTCGTCGTGCACCGCGTCGCTCGCGCCTCCGCCAAAGCGATCTCGGTCACGCTTTGCGGCGACGGCGCCATCGACGCCGACTTGAGCCGCTGCCCTCGCCCAGCAGCGGGTGCTCGCCGCTGTCCACGGACGCGGCTCGTCAGGCGGCGCGGTGCCGCCGGCTGCAGCGACGGCTGTCCCGGCCGTCGCATCCTCGAGAGAGGCGAGCGAGCTGGCAGCAGAGCCCGCATGGCCCTCACCGCCACAGCCGCTCTGCCTGCTGACCTCGCTCTCGCCGCCGCCGCCTGCAGCGGCGCCTCCGCGGCTCCGAGAGGACATGGTCCGAGGCCGCGCCTCGCCTGGCGCCTCGGCGACGCCCTCGGCGACGCCTCCTCGCGTCGCGTGCCCGTGCGTGGCGACCGCACCGCCGGCAGAGCTCGAGTGGCCCTCCACGCCACCCCGAGACTGCCCGGCGATGGTGCTTTCGTCGCCGCGCGTTGCCGCCGCTGCCTCGCAGCGGCTCTGTGCCTCGGCGCCGAGCCGAGACATGCCAGGCGGCCCGCCGCCGCCCACCGAGACGAGGCCCGCCCCCTCGTCGTGCACCGCGTCGCTCGCGCCTCCGCCAAAGCGATCTCGATCACGCTTTGCGGCGACGGCGCCATCGACGCCGACTTGAGCCGCTGCTCTCGCCCAGCAGCGGGTGCTCGCCGCTGTCCACGGACGCGGCTCGTCAGGCGGCGCGGTGCCGCCGGCTGCAGCGACGGCTGTCCCGGCCGTCGCGTCCTCGAGAGAGGCGAGCGAGCCGGCAGCAGAGCCCGCATGGCCCTCACCGCCACAGCCGCTCTGCCTGCTGACTTCGCTCTCGCCGCCGCCGCCTGCAGCGGCGCCTCCGCGGCTCCGAGAGGACCCGGCCCGCGGCCGCGCCTCGTCGAGCGCCTCGTCGACGCCCTCGGCGACGCCTCCTCGCGTCGCGTGCCCGTGCGTGGCGACCGCACCGCCGGCAGAGCTCGAGTGGCCCTCCACGCCACCCCGAGACTGCCCGGCGATGGTGCCTCCGCCGCCGTGCCTTGCCGCCGCTGCCTCGCAGCGGCTCTGTGCCTCGGCGCCGAGCCGAGACATGCCAGGCGGCCCGCCGCCGCCCACCGAGACGAGGCCCGCCCCCTCGTCGTGCACCGCGTCGCTCGCGCCTCCGCCAAAGCGATCTCGATCACGCTTTGCGGCGACGGCGCCATCGACGCCGACTTGAGCCGCTGCCCTCGCCCAGCAGCGGGTGCTCGCCGCTGTCCACGGACGCGGCTCGTCAGGCGGCGCGGTGCCGCCGGCTGCAGCGACGGCTGTCCCGGCCGTCGCATCCTCGAGAGAGGCGAGCGAGCCGGCAGCAGAGCCCGCATGGCCCTCACCGCCACAGCCGCTCTGCATGCTGACCTCCTCGTCCTCTGAACCCTCGTCCTCTGAACCCTCGTCCTCTGAACCCTCGTCCTCTGAACCCTCGTCCTCTGAACCCTCGTCCTCTGAACCCTCGTCCTCTGAACCCTCGTCCTCTGAACCCTCGTCCTCTGAACCCTCGTCCTCTGAACCCTCGTCCTCTGAACCCTCATCCTCTGAACCGCTCTCGCCGCCGCCGCCTGCAGCGGCGCCTCCGCGGCTCCGAGAGGACCCGGCCCGCGGCCGCGCCTCGTCGAGCGCCTCCTCGACGCCCTCGGCGACGCCTCCTCGCGTCGCGTGCCCGTGAGCGGCGGCCGCCCCGCCGGCAGAGCTCGAGTGGCCCTCCACGCCACCCCGAGACTGCCCGGCGATGGTGCTTTCGCCGCCGTGCCTTGCCGCCGCTGCATCGCAGCGGCTCTGTGCCTCGGCGCCGCGCCGAGACATGCCAGGCGGCGTGATGCCGCCCCAGCAAATCCTGTCGTCCGCAGCGTCAAGACTAACTTGAGCAGTTATTGGCTCTGCCTCCACATCGCAGTCGCTCCAACCTCTGCCAGCTCCCTTGACGCTGCTCCGTGCTGTAGCGATCTCCTTGAGAGATCCGCTAAGCCCATGCGTTGCGGCCTCTTTACCGTCAGCGTGTTCCAGCCTACCAGAATCACGTATCGGAACCACTTCCCGACGACGAATATGGTTGACGCTCGAACACGTTGCTGTTGCTTCTGGAGGTGGCCTTCCACCCCCGTGCCAACCCCTTCCAACCCCAACAAAACACCGACAGACGAGAGAAGAGGCCACAAAACAGACAAGCAGAATGGCAAGAGAGAGACGCTCTGCAGGCGAGCCCACGGGCCTCTTGGGCCCTCGCGTCTCTCTCTCTCGATTCGTTACACCGATTCGACCATCAATGCGGCGGGCCGATTTCGACCCATCACAAATGTGGGAAGCCATTAACCTCCCTTGGCTTCCCACACAAACCCCCCTTCATGGGGGGAGCAGCAAATGAGGTAGTCTCTGCGAAATCACTGTCCCAGTGAATTCGCCCTAGAGGCTTCCGTGTGGACTCGCAGCTCCGGCTGGATGTCGGCGACCTAAAGCTCGGCGGTCGTCGCTTCGCGCCGGCCGACTCCCTGGCGGCGGCGGCGCCCGCGGAGCCTATTCACAGAAGGGCTAAACGGGTATTTTTCGCTTCGCTGCGCGGCCCCGCAATAGGTAGGTAGGTGGGCCACGGAGCCTGGCGGTTGGCGCCCGCAATAGGTAGGTAGGTAGGGCGTTTTGGCGCGACTCAGTGTCGACAGACCCCCTATCTGGGTAGGAGCCGGAACCCAGCCAGAGGACATCTGCACTTATTGCGGGGCGGGGCGGGCGCGCGGGATCCACTTTGTATTTTCGCCACACGCCTCCCTCCCGGTATTTACACCGGGTTATTCACGTAAACGCACAACCCCGGGCCCCGGGTTATTCACAGTACGTGCAGAGCAGCCTCCCCCTCGGCCGAGTCCACGGCTGCACCCAGAGAACGCCGTCTCACCCAGATGGATCCGGCGGCCCCCACGCTCCAAAGCAACGCGCCGCTCATCGCGGCTCTCTTTGCGCCGGATGACAGCGGCCGCGCTCCCGCCGGGCGGGACAAGTACGCCCAGAAGCTCGCCGCGGCCTCAGTCTCGTTGTGGGCGGTCGCGCGGGCGGCGGAGCGCAACCCCGCAGTTTGGTCCGCGCTGGCCGCCGCCAAGATGACTCCCGACTGGAGGAGTCGCGTGGAGCGGACGCTCGCGCAGCTGGTGCGCGGCGCGGCGTGGCGCGTCTGGCTGGACGCGAAGGGCGGGTGCAAGGGCTACTGGGAGCCGCTCCCAGAGCGAGACTGTGTGGCGCTTGAGTCTGCTTTTGCGGCGGAGGGCACGGCCGCGCGGGTGCGGGTGCAGGCGCGCGGCGCGCACTACCTCGTCAAGTACGTGAGCGGCGAGTGGGACGGCGGCGAGCGCGAGTCGTGGGTGCAGGCGCGACGCGTATCGAACACTTCCGAGAGACTCTCCCTCCTATCGCTTTCGCGCTCGCGCTCGCGCTTGCCCTCGCCCTCACCTTCGCCCTCGCCCTCGCCCTCGCCGCCCCCTCCCTCCCACGTTCCTCTCGCACAGCTGCCGCAAGAGACGCCGCGTCACCTCACCTCTCCCATACCCTAACCCTAACCCTAACCCTCACCTCTCCCTTACCCGCAGGTGCGCACGGACGCGGCCGGCCGGGTGGTGAGGGACAGGGAGGGGGGCATGCGGTGGAGAATGGTGGACAGGTGCCCGGGCATGCACCCCTCCCTGTCCCTCACCACCCGGCCGGCCGCGTCCGTGCGCACCTGCGGGTAAGGGAGAGGTGAGGGTTAGGGTTAGGGTTAGGGTATGGGAGAGGTGAGGTGACGCGGCGTCTCTTGCGGCAGCTGTGCGAGAGGAACGTGGGAGGGAGGGGGC